ATGGGTGTGTTTGCCTCCATCAAGGACCGGTTAACCCCTGGTCCTTGATGGGGTGTTTCTCCCATCAATGACCGGTCATCAATGGGGGTGTTTAATCCCATCGATGACCGGTCAAAACCGGTCATCAATGGAGGTGTTTGGGGGTGTTTCCTCCCATCAAGGACCGGTCAATACCGGTCCTTGATGGGAGTGTGTCCTCCATTGATGACCGGTCAAAACTGGTCATCAATGGGGTTGTTTATTCCCATCAAGGACCAAACCGGCCCTTGATGGGAGCGTGTCCTCAATACAAGGAGGCTTACCCCATCAAGGACTGGTTGAAATCAGTCCTTGATGGGGGTGTTTATCATCCATGGGAGGTGTACTCCCACTCCTATGGATGACTGGGTGTAGAGTCCAAGGGGTTGAGAGGAGGTCACAAACCCCTTGGATACATGGCTGATTTGGAGGATCAGTGCCATGTTTGGCGGTCCAGGAGCAATCATGTCGGTTCAGGAGCATGGGTGGCCAATTCGGCGGTTAGATTCAATTTTCACTTTGGCCATTCTGGCGGTTCAGGGCCGTCATTTGGCGGTTAATTGGCCAAAGTGGCGGTTCATCCCCATGTTTTCATTTTTTTGGCCAAATTGGCTGTTCAGTACCTCCATAAGTACTGGATATGCAGTACATATCCAGTACTGGATATGCAGTACATATCCAGTACTGGATATGCATTATTATTTTTTTGTGAAAATAGTCTGAAGAAGTGAAAAAACCACATATCTAGTATGGGATATGAAGTAATGTTGAGAGTGCTAGTGAAACTAAGTGAGAAAGAGAGGGAAAGTACTGGTGGTACGCGCCGGGCTGTGCCAGGTGTGGTACTTGGTACCTATTTTTGTAAAAAATTGAACTGGCACCCAAGTATGAATAAACAATCTCTAGTTTCATCCACATAACATTTGACTGAGTGGAGCAATTCTAGTGGTTCCAGTGAGTGACTATGGGTCAAATGACCTGTATAATCCAATAAAGCAATAATATATCCAAGATTATAGCGTATTATCAAGATGGAATCAAGAATTGATGAAATTTGGTACTTTACATCCAGGATACATGGCTGACATCAAAGGGGCTAGGGAACTGCTGCAGAGGATTGGGACACTGAGAGGCGGAAGTGGCAGCGGGAGACTGATTGAATATCAGACAAAGCAAGTAACTGGGTGGTGGGCAGCGGAGAGGTGACATACTGATTACAAGGGAGTGAGAGCAGGTGATGGCATGGAAGGGACAGAGCAGAAAGAGGAGTGGTATTTGGATCAAGAGATGAGGAGGGGTTTCTGGAGCAAGGGAAGAGGAAGGGGGGGAGAACAACTTAGAACAACTCAGAAAAACACAAAGAGAAGAGAGTTAATAAATTTATTGGTCTAGAAAATTATTAGAGGAAGTTAAAGAGTTAGTTATTAGTATACTTTTAGCTAGAAAGTAATAAATCAACTACCTGAAAGACCATCAAGCAAGTTACCCCAGACAACAAATTGGAGGAAGCCAGCGTTTTGGAGTTGACAAGGTAATCAAATCTCCATGGACATGCCTTTCTTTCCACAACACTGTGATCATCCAATGGTAAATATCCAAATTGCATAAACATGTGTGGAACTGGTTTTCTGTGAGAAGTGCAACTATTGAAGAAGAGAGACCATACCTGTCATTCATGTGGGATGTGAAATTTCACATGTCACTCCCCAGATGGACCATTGAAATTCTGTATTTGATTGTGTTGTTGTGCAGTACAATCTAAGAAACCAGAAAACTTCTTATTGGACATTCACCTCCAAACCTTCTTGGCCGTTGAGAGTGATTCCTCCTGGCCGCTGAGAGCACTCTCAACGGCCAAGAGGGACACTCTTGGCCCTCAAGATTTTGTACTCTCAGAGGCCAAGGGGTACACTCCCAGCTGCCATTCAGAGTGTGCTGCATTGGAAGGGTTTTTTTTGGCGCCAACTCACAAACCCCTATGTGGTTCTGGAGTAGAGGCTTGGCTAATTGACTCCCAAAAGTTGGAGAGTCGACTCCCAAACACCCAAAACCCCCGATTTTGGGATTTGATCCCCCAAATCTGTCAGCAGGTTTGGGAGTCAGATCCCCAACAATTTTGAATAAAAAAATTGAAACCCCCAAAGGGGGAGGGAGTCAATGCCCCAAAACCCACTGGGTTTTGGGGGTCGTTGAGTCAAAAACAGCCCCCAACGGCCAGGAGGGAATCCTCCCCGCCATTGAGAGCACACTCTCACGCCAAGCCTGAGGGTGTACACTCTCAACAGACAAGAACACTCACAACAGACAAGAGTGAATACCTCTCAGCCGTTGAAAGTGTACACCCTCAACGGCCGAGAGAGGCTTTCTCTTGACCATTGAGGGTGTTCACTCTCAACGACTGAAAAGATTTCTCTTGGCTGTTGAGAATGTACACTCTCAACAACCGAGAGGCATTCTCTGGGCCGTTGAGAGTGAACACTCTTGGCCGTTCTCTCTCAACCGTTGAGGGTGTACACTCTCAATGGCCAAGAGTGATCTCTTGGTTGTTGAGGGTGCACACCTCAATGACCGAGAGGGTTTCACCCTTGGCCGTTGAGTTGTGCACCCTCAACGGCTGAGAGAACACTCTTGGTTGTTGAGTATGCACACCTTGACGGCAGAGAGTGTAACTCTTGGGTACACTCTCCACCGTTGAGAGGTATACTCTCGACCGTTGAGAGGTAAACTCTTGACCGTTGAGAGGTACACTCTCAACAGCTGTGTACCTCTCAGCAGCCAAGGGTGTACACCCTCGACACCCAAGAGGCTTTCTCTCGGCCGTCGAGAGTGTACACTCTCGATGGCCAAGAGGTATGCACTTTTGTGCTTTGAGCCATCAAGCCCGATGTTGAGAGTGTGCTCTCAATGGCCGGGAGGATTCCCTCCCGGCCGTTGGAGGCTCTTTTTGGCTCAATGACCCCCAAAACCCAGTGGGTTTTGGGGCATTGACTCCCTCCCCCTTCGGGGGTTTCAAGTTTTTTTATTTAAAATTGTTGGGGATCCGACTCCCAAACCTGCTGACAGATTTGGGGGATTGACTCCCAAAATCGGGGGTTTTGGGGGTTTGGGAGTTGACTCTCCAACTTTTGGGAGTCGATTAGCCAAGCCTCTTGGAGTATTGACTCCTACAAACCCCCAGGGGGGTTCCCAATATTATCACTTGACAGCAACACTATTTTTCAAAATTACAATGGGTCATTCAGTCCGTACCATGCCAGTTTGGCGGGGAGGTTTTCTCTTTGAAAGACTGATACCAGCTGGGTCCAGTTAATTCGCCGAAGCCTGCCACGGCCACCTGGTATCAGTTGGCTGGCTCCGGGGGAGGGAATCTCGGCGAGCTGATTCCCGCAGTCAAGGATAATTGGGTGAAGGTTCTGGAGGGCTCAGGGCCTGTTCTCGGTGAGCTGTGGTACCTGAACCGATTCGCCGGCGAGGCCTCTACTCGAAGAGCGGGCCATGGAGTGCTTATTAAGTATATCCCCTTAGTGGCCTCGATTGATGTCATCCATTTGTCAATGCCCACAATGCCCCCTCCGAGCGGCACGGGGGTCATCCAAGCCATTTTTAATGTATATGTGGAATGATTTTCCGATTATTGTTGGGTTGAACTGTTGTCAAAATAATGACCAATGGCAATCACCAGGCTCTACCAGGGGGGTGCCACTAGCATGTGGGGCAGTCCCGTTGTATCTGCTATATTACTTCTGCTTTGTAGATGAACCTGTGAACCTGCAAGTTGCGCGCGCTAAGGGTTTCCATCAAGTAGTAGAAAACATACAGATAGACTCCTCCGATGTTGTGTCAAAAGCTGCCCATTGGATGTGATAAGTCGGTTAACAGCCGTATTGGGAAGTATGCCCGATGTCAAGCTCGCTGTAGCAGCTTTATTCGGCTTCGAAAAGACCATCGAGCTTCATTGTTCCCTCTCAGTTCTTTTGTCACAGGTAAACTACTCGAGAGGCTGGTCTTTCATATTCGATCTTCAGCAGTCGATCCATCTTTGATATTTCATTAATTGTCGGTTCTGTGAATCTTTCTTGAAGAGTAGACATTTAGTATCCTTTGTTCAATTGCCCTGCTTCTTCCGGCCTAATTGTTGTTCCTATATCCAACGCAAAGCGCACAAACAAGAACTTTTAATCCCAACACCATCCCTACCCGCCCCGGCCATCCACATCTTTCTGGACAACTTTTACTGAAAATACTGGACCGATCGCCGACGCGTTTTTGCACTTGTGAGATCACTATGGATTTTGACCCGAATACGGGATTACCTTGGGGCACCAATCCCTTCAAAGTTACTTCTCAGGAAAAATACGAGCCGTTGTTTAGGCCACCTCAATTTGATACCGGTTTATCTTCAAATGGTATGGATTGTCTTGTTATCAACATTTTATGATCACATAGACTGAGAACCTGATTTGCGCCTTTTGCCCCATTCAAACCGACCAGGAGGACTCGACTCTCAGTTTAATTTTCCATTTTTAACATACCCTAACCATGGACAGGTCTCTCCACCAGCCTTCACCTCTTCGATAGATCCTACGATCTTGAATTCGTTTCCTTCCACGTTCTCAACCCAGAGCGACTTCCCATTTGACACTACCCTCGTACCAACCCCCTTTTCAAATCTACACGTCAATGGAGAACCCAAAGCCGGAACTTTTTCAAACCAATACGCGCCATTACTTCCACCCTCGCCCGTTTCTCCTTTGCAAAAATCCCCTGCTAGGAGCAATTCGGATTGGGAACAGCGTTCGCAATCCCAGGGGTTCCAACCCGGATCAAGCGCCATTCCTACCTCATTGGCAAGGCCTTCATTATTAGCAACGTCTCAGCTTCCTGCAAGCGATATATTCAGTTGGACAGATGACATACCCGTCTTGCAACCCAAATCATTGGACTGTCCCCAAAATATAAACCAAGGACCGGCAATCAATTCCTCTCCATCCACAGGTGTCGCAGTCCATGGCTTCCCAACCGATTTTCCCCATATTTCTCCCAAGACTTCGATCACAAACTTCCACGCCGACCTTTCTACCTTTTCGAATAATACGTCCCCTAATTATAATAATCCGTTTTCAAACAACGCTGCCTCCCCGGGTGATTGGGGGCATTCCACTCCATCAGGTTCGGATGCCACTCGCGCTTTAAGAAAAACTCCCCAAAAGAGTAAGAGTGTAGCCAACCAGTTCAGTAGCAGTCGCTGGCAAACACCTGCAACCACTCCCACGCCCGAGGTTAAATCAAACATCAAATCAATCAGAAACAACTCTTCTCCAGACTCCACACCATCGAAAACCAGCCGAAAGGTCTCAAGCAGCTCACCTTTGACGACAGGCACAAATTCTGCCATATTTGTCAATTTCACCTCCAGAGACTCTAAAAAGTTACTTAACGGGGTGGCTCCTAGCGGCAGCTCCAAGCGCAAGAAAACTTTGGACGGCAAGTCGACCAGGCCAGATAACAAGAATAAGCGTTCGATTTCCGATGATGGGGGCGATGCAATCAAGAAAAGAAGAGTTCAGAGCAGCTCCACTTGAATTTTTTTCTTTGACAGAAAACCTGCATCTTTTAATCCAATCAAAACATACTTTTTTCTCAGCAAATGCACTTGTTAATATCTCAATCCGATCATATCATGTAAATAGTAATAAAAAATACTTGAATTTCCACTCATAACATGATGCCAGCTGCAATTAACAAACCTAATAGGTTGTGCAATCTCAAGTTATGGCTGTAGGAATTTGAGATCAATTACTTTATTGCAGCTAATAACCAAAGCCAATAGTAGTAAAGAACTTAACAATAAAAATAAAAGATTAGAAATGTAAGAACAATAGGAAGAAATAAAGGAAAAAAAATTGATGAGAAGGAGGAGATGAATTCTTCAAGTACCTTCAGATATTCTTGTCCTGACTATGACTCAACAATTAGACACACGAAACAGTATTAGGAGAAAATGAAATAACACACAACCCTGAAGAAATTGAATGAGATTAATAATCGGAAACACTTGAGATGAGGAAAAGATAAAATGAAAGAAACAGGTTAAGTATACCTCCACATGTGTTATAACCGCGCTCCTCCTGAGTTCTGTTGGTCTTTAAGCAAGTGGTTAGGCGGTACAAGATTTGTGCAGTTCAGGTGTGTATTGATAGTTGATTAAGAGACTAGAAGGCTTGACAGAGAGTGAGGATGAATAAAGTTGCCGATTGGGTCTTCTCTTCTCTGGGGACTGAAGTGAATCTGGTTTTGAGTGTTGACACATGAGTGACATCTGTGTGACATCCCTCTATGACTCCAAGTGTTCAACTTCAATATGACATCATTTGTCTCAAAATCAGCTCTCAGACACTTGGTCAGATCCTCTCATTCCCCTGCAAAAACTCCGCTCAATCCCTCGCTCATCACAATTCTTGAACATATAAAGAAGAAACTTTTCCACAACTTCTCAATTCCGGTTTCTCCTAGTGGAACGTCATTGACTACTTTTCATCTATCAATATTCTTCAGCAACTTCTACATAAAACTCTTTGCTGAATCGTTCCTCCCAGACTCATCAATACACTCCTTGACGACCATCTCCTAAAGCGCTTTGTTTGCTCACCTCCCTCAACTTCACACATCCATAGCCTGTTCTGCGCTTTTGTTTGCTTTCCACTTCCTTTCAACTGCTTGCCGACCTCTCTGCTGAACCGCAAGATCTTAGTTGTCTAGTATGTTCTTATTCAACAGCCCTTTCTCTCATCTCAATGGCAGCTGACTAATCACTCCTATATTAGTTCCTTTCTCCTGTCATCTTCCTGTTATCTGCTCTCTCTTGTGTCATTGTCCTGTCACCTTGTTGTTTCTGCTTTTAGGTATTTATTCCTTTCTTTTTCATTGTTCCTTTTATTTCTTCTATGTCACATTGTCATATACATGTTACTCATAAGAAATAAAACCTTTAGTTTGTCCATTCACATTGAGTTCAAAGTTTTCATATTGAATATAGGTTAACAATGTGGGTCTATGTATTGTACACAGAAGTAGTCAGAAACATCATTTGACAATGGTGATATCAAAACGCCTCTCTTTGATTAAATATCAATTTGAAATCAAATTTTTTTGGGAAAAAACTTCCATCAAATTAGATAAATATTGTGCAGAAAAAAGGCAAGTTTCTCAACGAGGGAATAGGAAGCATAGAATTCAGAATTGAGAGGGCTGAATCAAAAATTCTCCCACCTGACTGACTGCATATCTCTCAGACCATCACAATTTGACAAATCTTCCTCATTCAACCAGACCCATAAGCTGTTTTCACTGATCTGGTCTAGCTTAAGAACAAATGTGGATGATCTTATAGTATCACATTGAATACTTCATGTCATGACCCATCACAATCACACATTTTACTAGTTGATCAACCACAGGCAATACATGTTATGATATATCACATACACCATGCAGGTTTCCAGAATAACTGAAATCTTCCACATAGCCCATCTTACTGGCCAAAATCTCTCATTTGGATTTCACATCACATTCATAGCATGTTTATTATTTACACCTTCATGTAGTCCAAATCATGTGTTTGAGTAGCTAAAATCCCTCAGTTTTGTGAATTCAATCAGGCAGTCCTCCTCAAAGTAACCAGCATGTTGGGGACAATCCAAAAGATGTGAGAGACCCCTGAAAACAAACTGGATATGCCACATGCTTTATTTGTTGACTAGTATTTGCCCCCAATTTTGGGGAGTTGGACTTGGTGATCTTTTGATGACCTTTTGCCCGGTTGGAGGGTGTTGCTTGAATTTTGATGAACTTTTGCCCCTTTGTGGGGTGTTGCTTGGAGATGTGGCTTCATACCCGGGTACCTGTAGTGGGTGCGGGTACCTGCCTCAAAAATCCAGTATTTTGGACACCCACACCCGCCAGGTCTTCCAGGGCGGGTACCCGGGTACCTGCGGGTGTGGAGGATTTTTTGCAGGCAAATATACCCAGAAATTTGTCTCAATGACTGGAGTGATTCCTCCAGCTGTTGAGACTGTACAGTGTCTCAAAGGCCCAAGGTTTCCCTCCGGCTCAAAAAAGCAACCAGATTAGTTCAGCAAACGGTGTAGGACACCAGCCGGTGTCCTACATGGGTTGCTGACACCACCTTTGTGCAGCCCAACACACCCAAAAAAGGAAGTGTTGGACTACGGATAATAATTTAAATTCTTCAGGGGAAGCATTTCAAGGGAGGGTGTAAGGCAGGTACCTGGGTAGCTGCCTTTTTTTACCCCAAATGTTGACACCTGCACCCGTTTCCAGGTACCCTCTTTGGAAAACAGGTACCTGCTGACATCTCTAGTGTTGCTTGAGTTGGGCACCTGTCTCAGTCTAACATTGGTGTTGACAAATTTGAATCAGAGGTTGAAGCCGGGGTGAGATTGCATGACACTTTGTTTGGCTCTCTGAGCCTATTCTTTTAGTTAGAGATCGTTTGTTTGTACTCGGGTACCTGTTGGTACCTAGGTACCTGTTGAATTTTTTCAAAAAATAGGTACCAAGTACCGCACCAGGCACCTCCTGGCAGGTACCGGCGGTACTTTTGGCGGGTACCGCGGGTACCTCCCCGCTCTTTCTAACCTAGGTTCACTTTCAGATTACCAAGTCACTTTTTTATTATTATTTTTTTCATATTTATTGTAAAATATCAGTCCCAAGTCACTTTTTTTCCATTCTTTCATATTTATTGTGAAATGTTGACAACAAATTGGAAGAATACTACTTTGTTATTATATTTTCATATTTATTGAAAATATCATTCCCAAGTCACTGTTTTTCCTTTTGTCATATTTGTTGTAAGACATCTTAAACTAATTGGAAGAACCTTACTTCATTATTATTATTATTTTCATATTTATTGTAAAATATTACTCAAGTCACTTTTTTGGCATTTTTTTCATATTTGTTAGAGATGGCACTTTGGCACCTGTTGGGGGGTACCTGCCACTCTTCAGAACACTCCCTCCACAATACCAGACAAGATTGATGCATGAAAAGGGTTAATTAATGAACAAGGTTCACTACTGGACCCTCCAGCTGCATGCCTGGTGGCTGGGGACATGGAGGGCTTGCTCTGAAGTGTGACAGGTACCCCCCAACAGGTGCCAAAGTGCCAATCTCTAAAATTTTTGTCAAGTATCTACATCTAATGGGAAGAATCTTGCCTTTTTTCATATTTATTGTAAAACATCAATCCCAAGTCAATTTTTTCATTTGTTCACATTTAATAATTTATTTTAAAGCTTAAACTGTCTACAAATTATATCTAATTAGATTATTAGAAGAATCTTCATTGTTGTCCAAAACTATCACCTTCCTTTTTGATTTTTGGTTAGACTTCTTGTTATCCTTGAGTCCCTGTTTCCATGTAGCCAAGGTACCTTCTTGGAGTTCTTGGAGTAGAAGGCCACCTTCATTTTGGTAGGGAAGTGAGGGGGTACCTGTAGTGGTACCTAGGTACCTGTTCAATTTTTCACAAAAATAGGTACCAAGTACCGCACCTGGCACCTCCCGACGGGTGCGGGGCAGGTGTGAAGGGTACCCCCCAAGCGGTACTAGGTACCTAGCAAAGGGTACCGCGGAACGATCTCTACTTTTAGTTATATGCAGATGCTTAAAATTAATTCATGAGTGTGCATCAGCAGCAGTGGGCCGCTACGCTATGCTACACTTTTGGCCCAAAAAGTGTAGCGTAGCAGTGTTTTTTTTTTTCATCAAAAATGTGTAGTGTTAGCGTTTTTTTAGCGGTTTTTTGCTACGCTACGCTGCGCTACAGCGCTTTTAGCGGAAAAAGCGGCCAAAAACTGCTAAAAAGTGCTGTAGCGCAGTGTAGTGGGCCCTTTTTTGTGGCCCACACACGCAGCGTTGGCGGTGTCGTGGCAGAATTCTGCTACGCTACGCTTAGCGCTAACAGCAATTCCGCTGTGTTACGCTACACTAACCACTACGGTGTGGGATACTTTATGGGTTCCCATCCAACAACTTCAAAAATTTATAGGTTCTTTGTATATACAATAATATTACACCATATAGGGCTCCAGGAAGGGACTCCAGGGCCAAAATCACCCTAGAGGAGCAGGCTTGGACACATGTAACCCCTCTGTGTTGCATGTTACACCCCTCTTTTACTCACAGGTAGGGGGGACAAGCACCCTTACATGTTACAAGGATATCAGGTACACATTTCACCCCTCCGGGCCATGTGATCTGGCATCTGTACGTCTCAATCAAGTACAATGGAAGTATGCAGGCACAGCATACAGGTTACCTTGGCAACCTGCCATGCAATGCGTACAGCCTCAAAATACAGGATGACATCATGCGGCTTACCAAACACAGCCTGCAGGTTGCTAGGTTGCATAGCAACCATTGCACAGCTTGTCAATCCGACGGAAACCACTCAACTTCTCAAATCACATCATGTAGGCTGTACCACCAGCCAAAACCCCTGATGTATTCTTCCATCTTGGCCAAATTCCCTCATGTAAGGCTGTACAACCAGCCA